TTAAAAACAATTTGTAAAAAATGATGGTTTTTGAGTAATTTTGAAAGCTTAAAATATTTGAGACTTTTGTGTATGTTACACATGACATGTTGAGAGATGACATCAGAGAGTTTGTGAGCTTTTCGGGGTGCAAGACCATGAATGATATGATTGAGAGGGCCCATGAGAGGGAGATTGAGTTTGAGCTTCAAACGAAGTGCGAGCCGGAGCAGGTGCAGATTGTTGTTGGCCAGACCAAGAAACCCAAGGTTTCTGATTTGCATTCCAGGGGCCAGCAGGGCCGAGGCCACTGCAAAAAGTGTGGTAAGCAGCATAGTAGGGTGTGTCGGTCGGCGGATTCGGGTTGTTACAGGTGTGGGAAAACTATTCGTGGGAGTAGGGATTGCCCCAAGAGCACACTGATTTGCTTCCATTGCAATCAGACTGACCATAAAAAGGCTGATTGCCCGAGATTGTTAGGGGGAGCTGTGGCGGCGCCTGCTCCAGCCACATTGAATATTACTGATGGCCTCTAGGGCAAGGCGGAGGCCCCTGTAGTGAAGAGTAGGGCATTTCAGCTGACTACTGATGAGGCCCGCGCAACACCAGATGTGGTTACGGGTATGTGTCTTATCTCTATCTTTTATTGCTTTCTTTATTTCCTGCTTATTTTATGTTGATTATGTATAGGGACCTTTTTGGTCAATAGTTTGACCGATCATGTCCTGTTTGATTTGAGGGCTACCCGATCCTTTGTATCTCTTGCGCTCAGCAAGAAGTTTTGTGATGCTCCCGGGACATTGGATTCCCCACTAGAAGTTGAGATTGTGGATGACCGTACTGTGAGTGCCTCGAGGGTTTTCCGTGGGTGTGTCTTGAATCTGTTTAGCGAGAGATTCTCTATCGATTTGGTGCTAATTCCATTCAGATAATTGAAGGTTATCATCGGGATGGATTGGTTGGGTCCCCAATGGGGCCATGATTGATTGCAAGCAGCAGTTGGTGAGAGTTCGAATCCCAAGTGGGGGAGTACTGGTAATTCTTGGAGAGGGAACTTCGTATGGGCCAGGTCTCTGTTCAGATGCGAGGGCCAGGAGATATTTGCAGCAACGTTGTTCTGGGTTTATAGCTTATGTTGCAGACACTCGAGTTAGGGGACACGATGGATGTGAGTGGGGTGCCTATTGTTCTGGATTTCCCCAATGTGTTTCCTGAGGATTTAACAGGAGGGTCTCCTAAGAGGCAGGTTGAGTTTTGGATTGATTTGGTACCTGGTGCAGCTCCGATATCCAAGACGTCGTATCACCTAGCGCCACCTGAGATGCAGGAGTTGTCTACGCAGCTTCAGGAGTTGCTAGACAAGGGTTTTATTCGTCCGAGCAGCTCTACATAGGGAGCACCGATTCTGTTTGTGAAGAAGAAAGATGGTTCATACAGAATGTGCATCGATTATCGGAAGTTGAATAAGCTAACGCTGAAGAACCATTACCCACTTCCGAGGATTGACGACTTGTTTGATCAGCTTCAGGGCACATCTTCGTTTTCCAAGATTGATTTGTGATCATGGTACCATCTGATAAGGGCCAGGGACGATGATGTGCAGAAGACAGCCTTCAAAACTGTCTATGTTCATTACTTATTCGTGATGATGCCATTTGGGCTAACGAATGCACCTACAACGTTCATGGACCGAGTTTGCAGGCCGATGTTGGATCAGTCTGTGATTGTACTCATCGATGATATTCTGGTCTACTCCAAGACCAAGGAGCAGCACGAGGATCATTTATGAGAGGTACTAGAGACCCAGAGGAGAGAGAGGATTTATGTCAAGTTCTCCAAGTGTGAGTTTTGGTTGCACGGGGTGCAATTTTTGGGACACATCGTCAACTAGAAGGGTATATTGGTCGACCCGACGAAGATCGAGGCCGTGATGCGGTGGGAGGTTTCGAGGACCGCATCTGAGATTCGAATTTTCTTAGGTCTTGTAGGGTATTACCGGAGATTTATCCAGGATTTCTCCAAGATTGTAGTGCCTTTGACCCGTTTGACGAAGAAGAATGTGACCTTTCGGTGGGGGCCTGATCATCAGTAAGCTTTTTAGACTCTGAAGAAGAGATGGTGTGAGGCCCCGATTCTCGCGCTCCCTTATGGCTTGGATGATTTCATGGTTTATTGTGACGCCTCTATTTCGGGTTTGGGAGCGATTCTTATGCAGAGGGGTCACGTGATTGCTTACGCTTTGAGGCAGTTGCAGCCTCATGAAGCGAACTACCCTACACATGATTTGGAGTTGGGGGCTGTGGTTGTCGCCTTCAAGATTTGGAGACACTATTTGTATGGGGTTCGGTGTACTATCTACACTGACAATAAAAGTTTGAGGTATTTGATGGACCAGTCGAATCTGAATATGTGGCAGTGGGGATGGTTGGATGTGGTAAATGATTATGATTGTGAGATCCTATACCACACTGGGAAGGCCAATGTGGTGGCCGATGCTTTGATCCGCAAGACTATGAGTTCATCTATCCGGGATACCTGCTTGAGGATTAATGTCATTTCACCTTTGATGGATTTGATCAAGAAGGATCAGGTAGAGAGGTTGAAAAAGGAAAACTGAAAGACCGAGCGGATCAGAGGACACGTTCCCTTATTTGCCAGAGACAGCCGAGGGTTGTTGACTCAATGTGGTAGAGTTTGGGTTCCGGCATCAGGTGGGGTGAGACAGATGGTTTTAGAGGAGGTGCATAAGTCAAAGTTTTCTATCCATCCGGAGGCCACGAAAATGTATATGGATCTAAGGTTGAGTTATCGGTGGCCCTATATGAAGAGGGAAATAGTTTGGTTTGTGGAGCGGTGCTTGACTTGCAGGAAAGTCAAGGTCGAGCATTAGAGACCCCACGGCAAGATACATACCCATTCCCATGTGGAAGTGGGAAGAGATTACCATGAATTTCATCACCAAATTGCCAAGGAAGACACGTGGTTTTGACTCCATCTAGATCATTGTTGATAGATTGACCAAGAGTGTGCATTTCGTACTGATTGTCGAGAGTATATCTGTAGATAAGTTAGTGGACATCTATGATCGGGAGGTAGTAGTTCGGCACAGAGTGCCAGTATCGGTGATTTCGGACCGGGATGTTCGTTTCACCTCCAGATTTTGGAGGAATTTTCATGAGGAGTTGGCTACTCAATTGAACTTTAGTACAACATACCACCCTCAGACCGATGGCTAGAACGAGCGGATGATTCAGACGCTCGAGGATATGCTCCGAGCTTGTGTGTTGGATTTTGGAGGGAGTTAGGAGACTTACCTCCCACTGGACGAGTTCTCATACAATAATAGTTACCATGCCAGTATTGACCTACCACCATTTGAGATGTTGTACGGAAGAAGGTGCAGGAATCACCTTTCTCATAATAATCCATTTTATTAAGAACTAATCTTGAGAAATGCACGGTGGATGCAAAGGAAGCAGCACCACGCCACGTGTCAATAACAACATCTGCTGCTTTCAGAATCCTTATAGGGGTCCCACATGTCCTCATCATTCTAATTCCGGCTTCTAAACTTTCACTCATTTCAGGGTAAAGACAACTCTCATCGGTTATGAGGACGGAACTGGTGATTCCCATCACCTCTTCTTCCAAATCCAATCTTTGACCTCTTGATTTGAGCCTTTGTATTGATACCCCAGCCATCTCGTCTAACCCTACTTGTTCAATTCCAATTAGGTTTGGGTGGAAAAGAATCTCGGGGCACCGGAATCTTTCCACCCCGATCAGTATCTGGATATCTGGAAGTCTTCCTGTGTTAAAGGGCATGGTTCGCTGCCGGAGGAGCTTGCCTCTGATTTCGGAAAGAATGTTTGGTCTACTTCCTGTCATTCAAGGGTAGAACAGTCAGATAATGTTCCTTTTATTAAAAAAAACATTTTGTTTTTCATCTAAAGGGTAAAACAGGCAATTAGCCCAGTTTTTATGCTGGCCATTAAGGGTAAAATGGTCAACTACATTTTGGTTAATGCTACTTATATGGATAAAGATTTGGCAACGGTCGGTTTACACTTTTTCATTGATCCACCTTATACGAATAATAATTTTGCTTCTCATTCAAGGGTAAAACGGTCAATTTACAATTTTTAGTTGATACTACTTATATGGATAAAGATTCGACCTTCATTTAAAGGTAAAATGGTTTATCATGTATATCTTAGTTAACTCGACCAGAAAAAATGGCTACTAACAGATGAAATTTCTCCACATTGCCATATACATTCTTGAATCAATCTCTGAATATCTTAATAAAAATTGCTATCAATTAGGTGCACTGTTGTTAAAACCGTAAAGATTATGAAATCCTCAATGTAGCTCAGCAGACAACCTTAAAGGACATAGCTGAAACCTAATTGCCTCGTATCTTTTAGGTATCAATCATTCTTCCAACAAAGAAGCTATGTGTGTAGACTTATGACAAACTTTCTGATTATATCTGACATTTAGCAAAGAAACGCATTTATTTTTTCAAAATCAAAGTATGACTCTTCATCAGAATGAAGAAATAGAACCAGTATCATAGGGTCAGGAAGAGAACAAACACTTCATCCAATCAATCAAACAATTAACACAAACATGAATTGACTAAATTGTCCCTCACTTATTTCTTCTACTGTAAGTAAACATGACAGGTGGACGTGCATCAAAATCATACAAACATAAAATTTGCAAATTAAAGATTGTTTCTGGTTTATCATATATATCATATTTAACTAAAGATGAACTGGGATCAAGCTTACGTATTCCATTATCAAAAGCTGAAATTTTCACAGTTTCCCTGCATAAGAAAGCAGAAAAATGTCTGTAAACAATGAAATTTTCCCACATTGTCATTTACATTCTTAAACCAATTCTGTAGGTATCTTAATAAGAATTGCTATCATTTAACCTACTATGAGTTGTAGAGCTCTGAATATATACTGCTTATGAAATCTAATTTCATACACATTCTCTGTTTTCAATGTGTCAGTGCGTAATATTTCCAAAAATTCCACATAAGTTCAACAGATAAAGAAACACATTTTTCAAAGTCATAGTATATACAGTACAAGTACAACTGATGGTTCAAGTAGCTTGAAGAACAATATCAAACTTTTATCAGAAACATTCAATGTTACACAATTCTGAAACAAGATGGGCTATTGTCAATGTCGATTGGGCAGCTAACTTCTTCCACTGGAACTTTCAAGCGACAAAAATCCAAACTGAGTATTTGGGATCTGTTATGACTGCAACAACTACTTCGACACTAAACAAACTCCGCCTTTGTGGCCAGTAACTTTGAATATCAATCTTTCTTCAATTCTGGGAATAAAACAGGAACCAATTCCAACAAAACTTCTCTGACCTTCAACCACCACCTTAGCATATCCACTGCTTTCTTTCTCTCAGGTTCGGAATTCTTAGAATTCAACATAATCCTTTGAATCATTCCCTCCAACACATTATTAGGGAATCTCTCTTTCTCATTCATCCTGAAGAATACTTTCCTTGATCTACCACCTGCTACCCTAACTGAATAAGTTGAACCCCATGTTGGTTCTGTAACCATTTCTCCACCACCAATATTATTAATTCCTTCGGCATCTTTATTTGGTAACTTTACTTTCTGATTTATAGCTCCAGCCAAGACTATATCAGTTCGAGCTATATCTCTGTAATAGTAACGGAGAAAAGCCTTGATAGACTGCATCACAACAGAATTTGGCTTCAAACCCCATTCTTTTGAAAGCTTCAGCAAAATAACTAAATCATGTGGATTCAGATTTGGGAAATCAGCAATCGTGAAAGTAATATCATCCATAATGTCTCTCCGAACAACAAACTTGAAATTCTGAAACACATTTTCAAAAGTTTCAGTCTTCATGACAGACTCAACGCTTCTGATCATCTTTGGACTCCAGGAATATTTTGAAGGTTTCCCAACAAGAGCATAGAAACGAACAAGTCTTTCGTTATATGACAAATCACCAATATTTTCATTAGTCTTTGGACCCATTATAGGATAGCCATATGCCCTTGGAGATATAGGAAAATCAAATTGCTTTTCCAAAGAATTGATGACTGAGTAGCTTTCTTTCGGAACAAGGTCAAACACAGTATTTTCAGAAAATCCCAGACTTCTTATCAATTTTACCCTATTCTCAGCTTCCATTTTTTCTTCTTCAGCAACTCCTTTAACGTACTCCGCATCAAAATTCAATTCGGAACGGTTTCTTTCCTCAGTTTTTCTCTGTCTCAATTCTTCCTTACTTAGCACTTCCGTCTTTTCTTTTCCTTTTGAAGTTGGTTCAGAACCTAATAAAGGCATCGTAGTAACAGCAGTTGAACCAGTTAAAAGAGATTTTGATAATGGGAAAGGAATACTCTTTATGAATTGGGTAGAAACAGGAAATACAACAGTGTTTGATATGGTAGATGGTAAGGTATATTCAGAAGATGGAAGAGGAACAGATGTCGAAGGTTGAAATGAAGAAGTACCTTTGGATGACATAAGAATGATGTCTTGAATCTTGAGATTCAATTCCTGACTTTCTCCTTCACCCCCTTGTTTCAAAGGTGACAAAGATATCATCGGATTAACAACACTTGTGTAAGAGCGAAGAAACTCAATGTGGGCTAACGCTTTCGTCAACTCATTTTGTAAAGTAATTTCTCTCTGTTTCGCTTCCGTAAGAGATTCATTTAGACTTTTGAGAGAATTTTCATGTTCACTTTTGAGATCACCAAATACCTTGTTTAAAGACTTCTCATTCTCTTCTCTCATCTTCGAGATTTCATCAAGAAGATTTTTGCACTCATTAAACATAACTTCTTGTACCTTCGTCATTTGGGAATTGATTTCAATATTTACGTGGGCTTTAAAAAGATCAAAACCACTCGTTAATGAATTAATCTTTTTGTTTTGATCAGAAAGCATGACTGACCAATCAGCAAGCATTTTTTCTTGATTCGAATGTTGGGCAGATTGAGTATTGGAATCAAGAGATCGTAATACAACATTAAGCTTACGATTCAACTTCTTAAAATCTCTTTTAGACATCGACTGATTATCATCTTCGTCATCCTCTTCATCAGAATCAACTAAACCTTCACCAAGTGCAGCCATTTCAAAATCATCGACAACATCATCAAAAGAAGGATCTTCCCCGGCCTTAAGCACAAATCCGTCAACCGCTTCTTCTTCTTCTTCAAAAATGGTTAGAGGTTCAGAGATAGACATTGGTTTGGAAATATGAGTTTCAAAAACAGGTTCTGAAATGGGAACTGTCTCAACCAATGTAGTTTCGACTGGAGTTGTAGAAGCGGATATCGGAATTGTCTCCACTGAAGAAGTTTTGACAACTGTTTGGGTTGTGGTTATAGGAATATCTTCTTCAAAATTCAAACCACCCTCATGTTGTTGCTCATCCTCTTCTTCGTCAACAGATTCTTCAACAATCTTTGGTTTCTTCACTCGCTTTGACTTTCTTATAGCTTCAACTTTAACAAATGGAGTTTTTCTTTTCTGCGCAGTCATTCTTGTAACTCTTGTAATCTGAACATCTTCTTGAGGTGTTGGTCGAACAGGGTAAGGAATAATAAGAGAAGCCCTATATTGATCCAAAATCCTACTTGGACATTTAATCAAACTCAACATTTCTTCAGGAATTTGACCAACAAAAGAGAAATGAGATTGATCAGCTTTGGTTGGAATACTAATTTGATGAATCAGCATCTTCGGAACTTCAGACTCATCAATTGGAATTTTGTGAAATTCATAAGCCTGAGAAACTATTAAGGCCCAAAATCTATGTGCAGAAAGTTCAGTTGCCCTTTTTGAATGTTTGATGCTATCAACAAATTCATTCCAAAGCACAGTAGCAAAATCAACATTCACACCTTTATATAACCCATACATAAGAGACAATAACTCTTTGGGTCCAGCATCCAATCCACCAGTACGACTTGTTAAGCCACGAAGAATGAAACCAAATAGCAGACTCCAAACAGCAGGAAGCCTGCTCTTTTTGAAATCAGATACCTTCTTCATATAAGGTTCATGACCCATAGAATTGAACATATCAATGAGCTCTTCACTTGTTGGAGTAACATACGGTCCTTCAGTTGGAAGACATAAAAGTTTTGCAAAATCTGTCTTAGAAATTGTTTTTCGATTCCCACCTTGAAGTTCAAAAGAAACTGTATCGTTCACTTTGTCGACAATTGCTGTAGTGAATGCTAGAGTGACGATTCTCCTTGGAACCTCTTTAGCCGTTGACAAAGCTTTATTTAGAAAAGAACATTTCATACATTCCACCATAATCTGAAGATATTTAGGATACTTATATGGATTCAAAATGGCTTGACAATTGCTTGACTGAGAAGTAAGGGTCGGCATTGAAGAATCTTCTTCAAAAGAAACACGTTCAGAAACTGCAGTCATTGTTTGGGAATAGCAGATGAAAATCTTGAACTAGGGTTATTGATTTGCTTGAAAGAGTTGGGAATGGTAAAAATAATCTAATATTTCCAAAAAATCCCCATAAGTTCAACAGGCGAAGAAGCGCATTTGACTTTTCAAAGTCATAGCATATGAGTCTTCCTCGGAAGGACAAAATGTAGTGAAGAGAACAAGCACTTCAACGAAAAATGATCCATGGCTCACTCTATCCTGCTTATCCACTATCATCACATTAACATAACGCATATAAATCACAAATAATGGATCAAGTAGCTTGAAGAAGAATATCAAACTTACCCGAAAATTTCAATTGCAGGTATGAGATTGTAGTATGATTTTGAAAACTTGACTGAGCAAAGCGTGCCCTAATTCTTCCACTGGAACTTTGAAGGGATAAAAGCCAAACTGAACACTCCTGTTCATTTTTCGAAGAAGCCAACACTTTCCGAGCGGTTTGTTGACCATAATAAAACCCAATGTCTCAGACCAGATTTTTTAGTTTGTCGGCTACATGTTAGCTTGGCCCAATAGGTCCAAATGTCACATGGAATCAGTGGGCTTGATAGTTACCCCCCCCCCCCCCCCCCCCCCCCCAAAAAAAAAAAAAAAAAAAAAAGAAACTTTTAGGATTAGTATTATTATGGCTTAACCAATTATTACTTTCTTTAAAGTCTCATGTTTTTTGCATCTAAGAGTATAACCTTGATTTTTACCGGTTAATTTGGGTAACCCACCTACTATAACCGGTTGCCGACGCCAAGTGGAAAAGAAAGTTGATGACATGCCACTTTGTGTTTCCATATTAGATGTCGATGTGGCTGTCTATTAACCCAAACATGGAGCTCACGGTAAACAGTGATGAACGAATAACAACAAACAAGCAAAAAAATTTATTCACTAAAAAGAAGAGCAAACAAAGAAGTAATAAACAAAGATTCACTCTACTAGTTACGTAAGTAATGGTCAAATAAAGCACTAACAATGTAATAATATAATTATGTCGTTTCTAATAATGTAAGATAGTGGGAAAGTAAAGTATTATAAGTAGAGTTTTGTCTCATAATATAGAATGAGTATTAGCGGTATAGTCTAGTCATGTAAAATAATTGTTAGGTAATATTTGTCGTTTTGTAATCATGGACTCTCCAGAAGAGTCTTCTATCATGTAAAAATAAGGGTTTTGCCCCGAATGAATAAATTAGAGTTATGATATGTAAGACTTGAGTACTCTCATAATCTTCTCTGTTGAAATTTATATTTCTAAATAGCAGAGTTCATTCATCATCCAAGATCCAAAATCATCCATTAGAAAGTCTATTATTCAGAGTTCATTCAGCATCCGAGATCCAAAATCATCCATTAAAAAGTCTAATATTTAGGTAATTGACTCTATCATCATTCATAATTTGTTTTATTATTATTTTCTTATATTATTTGGTGGTGGGTGGTTTGGGGGGGGGGGGGGGGGGGTGGGGAAATAGAAGCTGTAAGTTATATATTTTATGGGTAAATTTTTGTACATGTAATACAAACCTTTTTGGTTTAGTATCAATGTTTTAATAATAGTTAGAATTTAACATATTCTTCGCATTTATTTTTTATATTCTCAATACAATTTCAGTTTTGTACTTGTATGTTACATTAACGAGAATGATAAATTTGCAATATATATATTTTTCATTATTTTCTGTATGAAACATGATAAATGAATGAGAATGACATATTTGCAATTTTAATTTTGTTTCATTTTTTTTTTGGAATAAACAAAAATCTAGAAAATAGTTATTTAAAAAAAATAAACTAATAGGATTAATTATCCCTTAAAATCCGGAATTTTCCATATATAACTTCATATTAATTAACTAAAATACCCTTCAAATGAATTTTATGTTATTATAGGTCCATATTATTCCATTGTAGTAACATATATCCTAAAATTATAGTCTTTAACTTTTTCATCAAATGGTGAGAAGAGGTTGAAAGCCTTGAAGCTTTCTTTTAGTCTTTATCCAATGTGTCTTAACACACCATCTATGCTTAATGATGGTAAGTTGTCATGCTTCTAAAATACAACTAACTTCTTATAATAATCAACTAGCAATATTTTTTGCCCCCTCAGATAGCCTTCTTAGTTTTAGAAGAAAGAAGACAAGATTTATAAAGATCTTTCAATTTTTATATTTTATAAAACTTATGTACATTTATTTAAAGAACAAAACCCTTTTAGTCCAAAGGATGTACACGAATTTATCATATCTTATGATACAATTTTGATACTTAATATTAAAAATTATTATTTTAACAAATTATTAAGTTCCATTTAATTGCAAGAAATATAAATATTTATCAACAATCAAATTCTAATAAATATTCAACTTGTATTTACTTGTTATTGGAATTATTGGTATGAATATATTCTAAAACTAGGTGTAAGACCCGTGTGTTACACGGGTTTCTTGAAATAAATAATATAAAATTTTGAACATCAACGAAATATTAAAATAATACAACACATATAAGTGAAGACTTTATTGAATAAGTATGTAATTGAACCCAAAATACAAAAAAAAAAAAATCATTAATGAAATATTCTAAATAATTTTTACAAATCATAAATTTCCAAATACTTCTTTGAATACAACATTAGATGTCTTATTGGTAGGGTTTCATTCGTTGTCTAAAATTAATATTTTCAATCCGTCTCTGCGTTTAACTCTAGACAATGCAACATACAACTGTCCATCAGTAAACACTGGTTGTCTAAACAACAAACCAACCTTTGATAGCGACTGTCCTTGACTTTTGTTTATTGTCATCGCAAAGCATACAGCAAGTGGAAACTGTCTTCGCTGAAATGTGAAAGGAATCCTTTTATCCGACGGGGTCAGTGACATTTTTGGAATAAACGTACGTTTTCCTATGTTACTTCCAGAAATTATCTCTGCTTCTATAACACGCTTACCCAATGCTATAACTCGCAGCCTTGTTCCATTACACAAACCGTATTTCTGGTCAATATTCCTCAATAACATAACTGGAACACCGAATTTTAATACCAATTTATGAATTGGCATACCTGAAGGTCTAAGGCTATTTAGAACATCATGAGAGTATAAAGATTCGTCAAAGTCATCGTATACAAACTCCGATTGACAAAGACTGTCTGAACTTAAGTATTCTTTTTCATCTCCAGGAAATAATTTTAACAAACGATTGTTTATTTCTTGAACAACTTCATTTTTCGGTGCAAGGATTGCTCTTTCTTGAAAAAACATCGGATTATTGGCATTTTCAACAATAGAATGATAGACAAATGTAATTAATGAACCAATAGGATCCGATGAATCTGTAATGAGAATATCATCTGGTATATCAACAATTGCCTCGCCGTCGTTTAAGCCACCAACCTTTCCTTCACCTATATTCAAAATCCAATTTGCAAATGTGGCTGTTTCTTCAATATTAGATGTTTGAACACTTAGATAACGGAGTTCTTGTCGTATAATTGGAAGTAGATTTGAAACATTGCTGAGCACACTCCATATACTCTATGAAATAAAAATATTTTAATTATTACAAAAAAATAAAACAAACATAATAAACAAATGAATATATTATTACACAATTAATTATACATTATATCGATGAAAGATAAATTATGTAATATATAGCATATTACCGATTGGTGTGGTGCAAGTCTGAATGGATCTTCTATTATCCAAATAATCTTTTATTTGTTTTCGCTTATCTTTATAAATGTTTGGGTTGACATTTTGATTGTCCCCGGCAACATTATTGAACTTGCTTGATGACATGGTTTGACTTTTTTTTATATGCAGATGGCTACATAATTTCTAAGACGGTTGTTTATTGACCGCACTTTCCTATGAGCAGGGGCAAAAAAGTCATATGTGTTTCACTTTTATTGTTTACAACACATTCATATAGAAGGCATAATATGTTGAATATTTCAAACAAAGAAATTGAGATTGGCATTACATCGAACAGTTGGCGGACATTATACAAATGGCCTTGTTACACTGTGTTAAAAAAGAGAAGAGAATCGAAACTAAAAGGAAATGAGTCGTGCATATATAAATGGGCATAATACTAACCTTATGTAGTTGTTGGGATGGTAATGCAGATTCTTCAAGACAGTTGATTTCCAGCGTGAAGAAGATGACTCGTGCATATATAAACGAAATTGAAAGGAAACGACTCATGAATGTATTATGTATATAGATGTAATTGAAAGAAATTTTTAGAAATTATTACCTGCTATAAGTAAAAGATGAACGATTACGCATGATTGATGCGATTCTAAATAGATATCCATTTAACATTCCATATAAGTACATAGTCCATACACAGAGAATATTTGGTTAAATGGAACCGATATGATTTTGAAATCGAAGCCTTCAATCCACCGTGATCGAAGGCTAATCAGTTGGCAAACGTATCTTTGTTGCTCTGTATATGGACTTAATTTAGGAAACATAAACATTACATATACGTGTCTTCAACAATGTGTCTGCATTACATGTGGCATTCTAATAAATTTACATGTGGAATATTAGATAATTAAAAAATCAAGAAAATGCCATTTGTCTAAAGGCATAAGAATTTGCCAAGTGTCAATAAGATGTTTATTTATTAGGGTAGAAGTGAAATTAAATATCCTCCTATTGATATTCCATGTGCGTTTTTTCCCATCATTTGATTGTTCCATCCGAAAAAGCATCTCCATCTCTTCCGTTCTTCCTGTCGCTACCATCTGCACATCAAGCATGTATCTCCTTCTTTTCCTTCCTTCGAGTTTGATGTATTTGCTTGTGTATCTCATCAATCTTCAACAAAATTAAAAAATGGTAAAAAGAAAAATGAGTTTGATGTATTTGCTTGTGTATCTCATCATCAATCTTCAATAAAATCAAAAAATGGTAAAAAGAAAAATAATGACGAACAAGAGTACCTTGTTGTAGGTTTCTGTAGAGAAAAGAGTCATATTAGTATCCCATCTTTTTCAATAGCTTTTGTATCTTCTTATTTATATAGTGATCCCATTTTAATATTTGGACCTATTGGGCTAACATGTTAGGTGCCCAAAAAACTAAAAATCCCGGTCTCAAAAAGTAGGTTTACTATGCTCACAATTCCTCTGTGAAAGAAGGATGAACAAAGACTCATATGTTATGACTTTGAAAAGTCAAATGCAGTTTGTTAGCCTGTTGAATTATGTAGAATTTTTGGAAATATTAGATTATTTTACTTTTCTGCCAACTATCTCAAGCAATTCAATAAATCTAGTTTCAAAATTTTCATTTGCTATTTCCAAACAATGACTGCAGTTTCTGATCGTGTTTCTTTTGAAGAAGAGTCTTCAATGCCGACCTTTACTTCTCAGTCAAGCAATTGTCAAGCCATTTTGAATCCATCCAAATATCCTAAATCTCTTCAGATTATGGTGGAATGTATGAAATGTTCTTTTCTAAATAGAGCTTTGTCAACAGCTAAAGAGGTTCCAATGAGAATCGTCACTCTAACATTCACTACAACAATTGTCAACAAAATGAATGATAGGGTTTCATTTGAACTTCAAGGTGGAAAGCGCATAACCATGTCTAAGGGCTAAGGCAAATGTTGCAAAGATTTTATGTCTTCCAACTCAAGGAACGTATGTTATTCCTACAAGTCAAGAGTTGAGTGATATGTTCAATACTATGGATCATGACCTTACATGAAGAGGGTGTCTGATTTCAGAAAGAACAGACGTATTGCTTGTTTGGAGTCTTCTATTTGGTTTTTTTCTTTGTGGCTTAACAAGTCGAACTTGTGGATTGGATTCTGGATGCAAAGAGTTATATGCTTTTATGTATGGGTTGTATAAAGGTGTGAATTTGGATTTTGCTACGGTGTTTTAAAGTGAATTTGTTGATAGCATCAACATTCCAAAAGGGCAATTGAACTTTCTGCACATAAATTTTGGGGTTTAATAGTTTCTCAGGCTTATGAATTTCATAAAATTCCAATTGAAGAGTTTCAAGTTCCGAAGATGGTGTTTCATCAAATTAGTATTCCAACCAAAGTTGATCTGTCTCATTTTTTCGTTGTTGGTCAGATTCCTGAAGAAGTGTTGAGTTTGATTAAAAGTCCAAGTAAGATTTTGGATCAATATAGGGCTTCTCTTATCATTCTTTATCCTGTTGGACCAACGCCTCAGGAACAAGATGTTCATATTACAAGAATGACTGCGAAGAAAAGAAAAACTCCATTTGTTAAGCCTGAACTGGGGGAACCTAAAGTTATGAAAAAGTCAAAGTGAGTCAAGAAACCAAATATTGTTGAAGAACCGGTTGTCGAAGAAGAGGACGAGCAACAACATCAGGGTGGTTTGAATTTTGAAGAAGATATTCCTATAACCACAACTCAAACAACTGTCAAAACTTCTTTATTGGAGACACTTCGATGTTTGTTGCTACAACTTGAACTCATGTTGAAACTACATTGGTTGAGATAGTTCCCATTTCAAAACCTGTTTTTGAAACACATTTCCAAACCAATGTCTATCTCTGAACCTCTAACCACTTCTGAAGAGGAAGAGGCTGATGGATTTGTGTTTAAGGCCGGGGAAGATCTTTCTTTTGATGATGTTGTCAATGATTTTGAGATGGTTGCTTTTGGTGAATTCTTGGTTAATTCTGACGAAGAGGATGACAAAAATGATAACCACTTGATGTCTAAAAGAGATTTTAAGAAATTGAATCGTAAACTTAATGTTCTATTACGATCTCTTAATTCCAATACTCAATTTGCCCAACATTTGAATCAAGAAAAAATGCTTGCTGATTGGTAAGTCATGCTTTCTGATCAAAACAAAAATATTGATTTATTAAAGAATGGTTTTGACCTTTTTAAAGCTCACATAAATATTGAAACCAAGTCCCAAATGACGAAGATACAAGAAGTTATTTTTGATGAATGCAAAAAGCTTCTTGATGAAATCTCAAAGATGAGAGAAAAAAATAAGAAATCTTTAAACAAGGCATTTGGTGATCTCAAAAGTGAATATGAAAATCCTCTCAAAAGTCTAAATAAATCTCTTACTGAAGCGAGAGAAATTACTTTACAGAATGAGTTGACGAAAACGATAGCCTGTATTGAGTTTCTTCGTTTTTACTCTAATGTTGTTCATCCAGCAGAACTTGCAAAGCATGTCGAGGCTCAAATAGCTAATGCTATAAATCTCACTTTGAAGATGGTTGCATCTCATCTCAAGCCTCTACAACCTGTTATCAAAACATACCCAAGGAGTGTTCTGAAGGTATCTTTGTCACATTTGAAACAAGGGGGGCGGAGAAGGAGAAAGTCAGGGTTTCAATCTCAAGATTCCAGAAATCATTCTTATATCATTCGAAGGTATTTCTTCAGTTCAACCTTAGATATTTTTACCAACATCTTCGACATCTGTTACTATTCCATCTTCTGAATCTACCTTTCTTGCAACATTACCATCTACCATATCAAACATTATTGCATTTCCTGTTTCTACCCAATTCACAAAGAGTATTCCTTTGCCATTATCAAAACCTCTTTCAATTGGTTCAACTGCTGTTACTTCAATGCCTTTATCAAGTTCTGAACCAAGTTCTTTAAAAGGAAAAGAAATGATGAAAGTGCTAAGGAAGAATTAAAACAGAAAAAACAAAGTAGTTCTCAAGTGAATTTTGATGCAGAGTACACTAAGAAAGTTGCTGAATAAGAAAAAGTGGAAGCTGAGAATAAGGTAAAATTGATAAGGTAAAAATGATAAGAAGTCTGGGATTTTCTAAAAATAGTGTGTTTAACCCTGTTCCAAAAGAAAGTTGCTCCATTATCAATTTTTTAGAAAAACAATTTGATTTTCCTATATCTCGAAGCGCATATGGATATCCTATAATGGTTCCAGGGATTAATGAAAATATTGGTGATTTTACATATAACAAAAGACTTGTTCGTATCGAAAAGGTTGAGTCTGTCATGAAGACCAAAAGTTTTGAAAATGTGTTTTAGAATTTCAAGTTTGTTGTTCGGAGAGACATTATGGATGATATTGCTTTCTCGATTGGTGATTTCCCAAATCTGAATCCGCAGGATTTAGTTGTTTTGCTGAAGTTTTCAAAAGATTAGGGTTTGAAGGCAAAATCTATTGTGATGCAGTCTATCAAGACTTTTCTCTGTTACTATTACAAAGATATAGCTCGAACTGATATAGTCTTGGATGGAGCTATAAATCAAAAAGTAAAATAACCAAATAAAGATGCTGAGGGAATTGATGATTTTGGTGCTGGAGAAATGGTTACAGAACCAACATGGGGTTCAACTTATTCAGTTAGGGTAGCAAGTGGTAGATCAAGGAAAGTATTCTTCAGGATGAATGAGAAAGAGAGATTCCCTAATAATGTGTTAGAGGAAATGGTTCCAAGTATTATGTTGAATTCTAAGAATTCCAAATCTATGAGAAAGAAAGCTGTAGATATGCTAAGGTGGTTGTTGAATATCAGAGAAGTTTTGTTGGAATTGGTTCCTATTTTATTCCCAGAAATTAAGAAAGATTAATATTCGAAGTGTATGGCCACAATGGGTGAGATTGTTGACAATCATGACTTCCCAAGTTTTGAACCTATTGGTCTAACATGCTAGGTGGGCCACAAACTAAAAGAACCAGATCTCAAATAGTGGCTAATATGTTAGGTGGCCCACAGTTAGCCTCTTCCGTGAAAAATAAAAGATGAACAAGAATGATCAGTTAGGACTTTGGGCGCTTGAATATCCCAGTGGGAGAAGTTAGGGCCCGCATTTTCCTTCTGCATTGTCATTAATTTTTTTTTTGGTGATCAGAGCAAATATCATTCATATCACAAACGCAAAGCAATCAGATTACAATCTCATACCTACAAGCCGCCCCGTCATCATCGACAATGGCACATCTTATATTGGTAAAATAGACATGCTTTGATAAAAGTTTGATATTGTTCTTCAAACTACTTGAACCATCATTTTTACTGGCTATGCTTTCATGAGTGTGATATGGTTATTATCGTTTTGTGTGCACGGTTTTCGAGGGGGGGCAAACTTGCCGACGTATGAAAGTCTAGAGACCAAACTTGTAAACATGGCAATATACAAAAAAGGGGTGGACGTTGTCGTTGTTCAAATTTGAGGGGATAAAAATGACATTTTACAAAATAAATAGGTGGAAAGTGCCATTCTATAAAGAATGGGGTGGAAAGTTGTGGCCAAAATATAAGATAAGAAAGTAGATTTGTTGCCAAGGTGTGAAATAAGAAACTTTTGTGGCCAAATTATGAAAACACAAAACTATATTATTCATAAGAGGGTTGGTCTTTATTATATATAATAATTGTTTGTTTTTGTCATCGTTTTACCATATTTTAACCATCCTTATTTCATAGCCTTTGGTGTTGATGTTGCTTTAAGCTATTAAGTACAATCAAAAACTTGGAATTAATGATAGATGGTCTTGCAATTTGCTTAGGATTTTCCACACGCCATGTGATCCCCATTTAATGTAGCTCATCAGGCAATATTAATGAATATAAAAAAAAAAATTGCTAGACATAGCTAAACCTAATTGACTGGTATCTTAACTAGATATACATTAATTCACCAACATACAAACATAGTAGCAACATCAACATACCCACAAACACATATACATTACAAATGATGGTTCAGGTAGCTTGAAGAACAATATTAAATTTTTATCAGAAAATTTTAATTTTACCCAATTCTGTAACTTTCAAGCACCCAAAGTCTTAACGGAACATTGCTTGTTTATCTTTTATCTTTCACAGAAGATGCTAACAGTGGACAGGGCGGTTTGCTGAGTAAAGTTAAACCACTATTTGAGACCGGGTTTGTGGGCCACCTATCATGTTAGGTCCTAAACTTTGGAAGTCATGACTGCCACAACTACTTCCACTCTCAACAATGACAGTCACTTCAGATATTAATCTTTCATCAAATCTGGGAATAAAACAGGAACCAATTCCAACAAAACTTCTCTGATCTTCAACCACCATCTTAGCATATCCACAGCTTTCTTTCTCGCAGATTCCGAATTCTTAGAATTCAACATAATCCTTTGAATTATTCCCTCCAACACGTTATTAGGGAACCTCTCTTTCTCATTCATCCTGAAGAATACTTTCCTTGATCTACCACCTGCTACCTTAACTGAATAAGTCGAACCCCATGTTGGTTTTGTAACAATTTCTCCAGCACCAATATTATCAATTCCTTCAGCCTCTTTATTTGGTAACTTTACTTTCTGATTTATAGCTCCAGCCAAGACTATATCAGTTCGAGCTATGTCTCTGTAATAGTAACAGAGAAAAGTCTTGATAGAGTGCATTGCAACAGAATTTGGCTTAAAACCCTTGTCTTTTAAGAGCTTCAATAAAACAATTAAATCATGTGGATTCAAATTTGGGAAATCGGCAATCGTGAAAGTAATATCATCCATAATGTCTCTCCGAACAACAAACTTGAAATTCTGAAACACATTTTCAAAACTTTTGGTCTTCATGACAGACTCAACGCTTCTGATAATCTTTGGACTCCAGGAATATTCTGAAGGTTTCCCAACAAGAGCATAGAAACGAACAAGTCTTTCGTTATATGACAAATCACCAATATTTTCATTAGTCTTTGGACCCATGATAGGATAGCCATATGCCCTTGGAGATATAGGAAAATCAAATTGCTTTTCCAAAGAATTGATAACTGAGCAGCTTTCTTTGGGAACAAGGTCAAACACAGTATTTTCAGAAAATCCCAAACTTCTTATCAATTTTACCCTATTCTCAGCTTCCATTTTTTCTTCTTCAGCAACTCCTCTAATGTACTCTGCATCAAAATTCAATTGGGAACGGTTTCTTTCCTCAGTTTTTCTCTGTCTCAATTCTTTCTTACTTAGCACTTCCATATTTTCTTTTCCTTTTGAAGAATTTGGTTCAGAACTTAATAAAAGCATTGTAGTAACAGCAGTTGAACCAATTGAAAGAGGTTTTGATAATAGCAAAGGAATACTCTTTGTGAATTGAGTAGAAACAGGAAATGCAACAGTGTTTGATATGGTAGATGGTAAGGTTGCAAGAAACGTAGCTTCAGAAGATGGAACAGAAGAAGTACCTTCGGATGATATAAGAATGATCTCTGGAGTCATGAGATTGAATTCCTGACTTTCTCCTCCCCCTTGTTTAGAAGGTGACAAAGATACCTTCGGAACACTCTTTGGGTATGTTTCGATAACAGGTTGTAGAGACTTGAGATGAGATGCAACCATTTGAGTCTCAACCTGCTTTGCAAGTTCTTCTGGATTAACAACATTCGTGTAAGAACGAAGAAACTCGATATGGGCTAACGCTTTCGTCAACTCATTTTGTAAAGAAATTTCTCTCTGTTTCGCTTCAGTAAGAGATTCATATAGACTTTTGAGAGAATTTTCATGTTCACTTTTGAGATCACTAAATGCCGTGTTTAAAGACTTCTCATTCTCTTCTCTCATCTTCGAGATTTCATCAAGAAGCTTTTTGCACTCATTAAACATAACTTCTTGTACCTTCGTCATTTGGGACTTGGTTTCAATATTTATGTGATCTTTAAAAAGATCAAAACCAGTCATTAATGAATCAATCTTTTTGTTTTGATCAGAAAGCATGACAGACCAATCAGCAAGCATTTTTTCTTGATTCGAATGTTGGGCAGATTGAGTATTGGAATCAAGAGATCGTAATACAACATTAAGCTTACGATTCAACTTCTTAAAATCTCTTTTAGACATCGACTGATTATCATCTTCGTCATCCTCTTCATCAGAAGCAACAAAGTCTTCACCAAGAGCAGCCATCTCAAAATCATCGACAACATCATCAAAAAAAGGATCTTCCCCGGCCTTAAACATATATCCATCAATCACTTCTTCTTCTTCATCTATAAAACCATTCCCTAATGTATTCTTTAAAGGTCTTTCAGAAATTGTAGCTTCCGAATGATCTGAAGTAGAAATATGAGTTTCAGAAGTGGTCAAATGTTCAAAGATAGACATTGGTTCAGAAATAGAGTTTTCGACAACGGGTTCTGAAATGGGTACTGTCTCAACCAATGTAGTTTCGACTGGAATTGTAGCAGTAGACATCAGAATTGTCTCCACTAAAGAAGTGACAATTGTTAGAGCTGTGGTTATAGAAATATCTTCTTCAAAATTCAAACCACCCTGATGTTGTTGCATGTCCTCTTCTTCAACAACAGGTTCTTCAACAATCCTTGGTTTCTTGACTCGCTTTGACTTTCTCACAAATTCAGTTTTAACATCTGTCGAACCAAGTTTACTCTTAACACGTGGAGTTTTTCTTTTCTTCCTAATCATTTTTGTAAGTTTAACATCTTCTCCTTCTTGAGGTGCAGGTCGAACAGGGTAAGGAATGATAAGAGAAGCCCGGTATTGATCCAAAATCTTACTTGGACATTTAATCAAACTCAACATTTCTTCAGGAATCTGACCAACAAAAGAGAAATTAGATTGATCAACTTTGGTCGGAATACTAATTTGATGAATCACCATCTTCGGAACTTCAGACTCTTCAACTGGAATTTTGTGAAATTCGTAAGCCTGAGAAACTATTAAGGCCCAAAATCTATGTGCAGAAAGTTCAGTTGCCCTTTTTGAATGTTTGATGCTATCAACAAATTCATTCCAAAGCACAGTAGCAAAATCAACCTTCACACCTTTATATAACCCATACATAAGAGACAATAACTCTTTGGGTCCAGCATCCAATCCACCAGTACGACTTGTTAAGCCACGAAGAATGAAACCAAATAGCAGACTCCAAACAGCAGGAAGTTTGCTCTTTTTGAATTCAGACACCTTCTTCATATAAGGTTCATGACCCATAGAATTGAACATATCAATGAGCTCTTCACTTGTAGGAGTAACATATGGTCCTTGAGTTGGAAGACATAAAAGTTTTGCAAAATTTGTCTTAGAAATTGTTGTTCGCTTCCCACCTTGAATTTCAAAAGAAATCGTATCGTTCACTTTGTTGACAATTGCTGTAGTGAATGCTAGAGTGACGATTCTCAATGGAACCTCTTTAGCTGTTGACAAAGCTCTGCTTAGAAAAGAACATTTCATACATTCCACCATAATCTGAAGAGGTTCAGGATACTTGGATGGATTCAAAATGGCTTGACAATTGCTTGACTGAGAAGTAAGAGTCGGCAATGAAGACTCTTCTTCAAAAGAAACATGATTAGAAACTACAGCCATTGTTTGGAAGTAGCAAACAAATTTAAACTAGGGTTTTTAAATTGCTTGAGATGGATGGGGAAAAGTGAAAATGATCCGGTATAACGGGTTTATATAAGAATTTGAATTGATTAAACTTGAGTAGAGAGAGGAAAAGCCGAAGAATCATTAAATGAATGTCCCATCAACCGTATAATCCAGCTGGCTCTGCATAAATAAATTACCTTCGAGATGAGTTACACTTATAAAACTATCGAAGATATATGATATTAACATAATCCAAAGTATCACAACTTTGTTTTGGAATTTTTCTATTTTTATAAAAGAAAAGGACAAATGGAAAAATACCACCAGACTCTATACCAATTTGATAAGAAAATAACAGAGAATCAAAGGAAAAACAGATGAAATGATGATAAATTGTCGCTGGATTAATGAATTTCACAAGAAACCCTCACACATGTCTAACCGCCTCTAACCGACTCAAACATGAATTGACTAAACTGTCCCTAACTTATTTCTTCCATTATAAGTAAACTAACAGGTGGACGTGCGTCAAAATCATACAAGCATAATATTTGCAACTTAAAGATTGCTTCTTGCTAATCATATACTAACTAAAGATGAAGGTGGATTAAGCTTACATTCTTAAACCAATTTTGAAGGTATCTTAACAAGATTGTCTATCATTTGAAGTATTTAACCTACTATGAATTAAATGTACTATCAATCATGTCTACTCTTCAAACCTAGAAAAAGAAAAAACATAGAGAAGAGCTCCGGACCCAAATTTAAGGAAGTTAGTAATATGGACTTTGTCAACCTTAACAAACATCACACAACTGCCAGAGAAACTGCTTATGGAATCTAATTTCACACACATTCTCTTTTTTCAATCTGTCAAGACGTAGTAAAGGAAAAAAAAAAAAAAAAAAAAAAAAAAACTTAACATGTAATATTTCAAAAAATTCCAAATAAGTTCAACAGTTGGGCAGTATCAGAATTTTTCAATTTTACCCAATTCTGAAACAAGATGCGCGATTGGGCAGCTTGCAGGTTTGAGATTGTAACCTGATTGCATCTGCGTTTGCGATATGAACGGAATTTACTCTATTTGACTCACACTTTGGATCACAAAAAAGAACTTAGACTGATGATGCAGAGGGAAAGCGTGCCCTAACTTCTTCCACTTAGAACTCTCAAGCGACCCAAGTCAAAACCGAGCACCTGTTTATCTTTCACAGAAGTAGCCAACAGTAGATAGACCAGACAGTTTGATTGGTATAATTAACTATTGTTTTGTTTGAGGAAGTATTTTTTTAGTTTTTGGGCTACCTAACATGTTAGCCCAATAGTTATTGGTTCAAATATCAAGGAATATTGATTACTATATTAATATTTTTAGGCCCTAAGAGGTTGTATAAAAAATCAGTTTGGTTTCTTGCTGTCTTTTTATTGGTTTCGATTTAAATTGGTTCCGACTTTTAACTTTTATGAAATGAAATTAAGTTAAAACATCAGTTATTTTCGGTTGAAAAACTGGTTCGGTTCAATTTTAAAAAAAAAACAGAAAAAACTGACTAAAAACCGGTTTGTAATTTCCTTTTAGACTGACATCAAACCTTTTGTTCGATCATAATTGAACTCGTTTTAAAATATCCGGTTCAGATTATTTTACCGTTTTTTTTAATTGGTTGTGTTTTGCACCTCTAGTTACACCACAACAAACATATGTTTGTTATTAATTTTATTAGTTGTTAATAAACTATCGCGTAAATTGCATAAAACCATGATATTTTGGTTATATTATATAAGGGTGGCAAATCGGACAGTTATTCTGTGTTTTTGCCTAACACGACTCGACACGAATTATTTTTTCTTAACCCGAACACGACATGACACGATAGTGTGTTTTTGTTCGTTAATAAGAACACGACTCAATAAAAACCATTGTTCTAAATAATATACGGCGTGACTAAAGAGGCTTGTAATTCATATTCTATTCACTGATTACACATGTACATAAATAAGGATTTGTACAAAACGTAAGTCAGAAATTAGAGACTATACATGGAATAATTGTAATCTAAATACAAACAGTCGGTGCTTGATCATAATTGGCGGTTCTCCTTGATACGCCCCCGCAAAATGGAGGATCCATCAGTGACTCCAATCTTGGACCTAAGTTTTAGAAAATGTGTCCGTCCCAATGGTTTGGTGAGAGCATTAGCAGGTTGATCAAGAGTATGAATGTGTCGAACTTTGAGGGTTCCACAACTACTTGTTCACAAACAAAATGATAGTCTAAAGCGACATGTTTCATGCGCGAGTGATTGACTCGATTTGCACAGAGGTAAGTAGCACCTGTGTTGTCACAGTGGAGGGTTGGTGAATGGGAGATAGGTACACCAAGTTCACAGAGGAGATTTTTAACCCATGATAGCTCAGCTGCTGCATTAGCCATAGCTTTGTACTCGGCTTCGGTCGAAGATCTAGAGACCGACTTTTGGCGAGAAGACCGTCAGGAGATAATTTTTTTACCAAGGTAAATGAGATATGTTGTTGTCGAGCGCCCTCTGGTGTAAACTCCGCCCCAATTAGAGTCTGAAAAGGCGGTAAGCTCCAAGGGGGAGTGACGATGCAAGTAAAGGCCATGGTGTATAGTACTTTTTAAATAGCGAATCTGACGTTTAAGGGCTTGGCAATGTACATCATATGGAGCATGCATGAACTGTGACAGTTTATTGACAACAAATGAGATGTCAGGATGAGTAAAAGCAAGATATTGGAGAGTGCCAACAAGTTTGTGGTATGGTGTAGGATCAACTTTGGGAGCTCCATCATCTTCGGTAAGTGTAACAGATGTGCATAAAGGAGTTGTTACTTCCTTTGCGCCATCCATTTTGAATTAAGTAAGAATATCACGAATGTGAGCATGGTGTGATAGAAAAAGTCCAGACTTCGTGGGAATCATTTCAACCCCCAAAAAGTGACTGAGTCGACCAAGATCCTTGATTGAGAACCTGTGAGCAAGCATATTTACAAACTTGTTGATGAAAGATGGATTATTCCCGGTGAGAACAATATCATCAACATAAACCATGAAATAACACATAATACCGTTACAATTGTAAACAAATAAAGAAGCATCGGCTTGTGATTTGTGAAAAGCAATCTCGAGGAGAAAAGAGGTTAGGGCTAAATACCACTTACGTGGCGCTTGTTTGAGGCCATAGAGTGATTTTCGAAGTTTGTAAATGTGATTAGAGTAGTCAGAGTTGATAAAGCCTAGTGGTTGAACCATGTACACCTCTTCCTGTAATGTGTCATGGAGAAACGCGTTGTTCACATGGCGATCATTGGAGAGAGCAAGGAAAGAACCGTGTGTATTGTAATTGGTTTGGTTACAGGGTTGAAAGTTTCAAAGTAGTCTTTCCCATATTATTGTAGAAAACCTTTGGCCACAAGACGGGCTTTGTATTTTTATATAGTACCATCAGGGTGTCTTTTAATACGGAAAACCAACTTGCAACCGATGGGACGATGAGAACTTGGAGGAACTAGCTCCCACATGGCGTTATGAATCAAAGCATTGTGATCATCTTCCATTGCTTGACGCCATAGAGGATCTTTGGAAGCTTGGGTAGAAGTGGTCGGTTCAAGGGTAGCAGGAATAGGATGAACAGTTGTGTTGTTGATAAAATATGAATAAAAATATTTAGAGTTGGGTTTGCATAGGCGAGTGGTACGATTGTGATATTGATTTGGTGATGGAGGTGGCGATGTGTAGCACCTGGTTCCTGGTATGTATTTTATTTAAGTAAAGTTGCATTTTTGGCCTGGGACTCGGCGAGTTGAAGGCCCAACTTGCCGAGTAGGAGCGGGATGAGATGCGTGATTTAAGTGATGGACTCGTCGAGTCGGGTCCCGGACTCGACGAGTAGGCTCTGACTGGACAAAACCCTAATCTGAGGGTTTGCACCCTATTTAAACAACCTTATACAGCCTCCATCGCCCCTTTATGCTCCCAGAAACCCTCCATAGCAAACCCTAAGTGTCTTGGTGCAAGATCTAAGGCTTTTGAGTGATTTTTGGTGGTTTTGTTCACAAGGAAGAAGGAAGAGCATAGAAGGATCAAGAGGAAACTGAAGGATTCGAGTTTGGTTCATCATTTGCAGTCTTTGAGAGGTATAAAGTCTGTACCTTGCTCTTTCATTTGATAGATCCCTTTTTGGGGAGATTTAGGGCTTTTATAAGCCATTTTTGGTAACCAACCATGATTGCAAACATGGTTGGGGGTTGAGGCTTTGGAATCAGATCTTTAAAGGGGTCACAAGGCAGATTTGGGTTGCTTTTGCACCCAAGGAAGGCCCCATGCAACACTAGAGCCATTTTAGAGCCTTTTTGGCTCAAAAGTCCCATGCATGCACGTAAAGTTCGTAACTTTACGTGCTAGATCGAGCTTAGGGGCTTGGATCTATCATTTGGTCAAGTGTTGTACATCAGAAATCGAGGATTTAGGGTGTGGATGTTATCGACTCGGCGAGTCCGTTCTTGGGACTTGACGAGTCTAAGGCTTTGAGTCCCATATCTGTTGAGGGTCAAAAGAACTCAGATGGGTGTTAGAAGGGTTGTAGCAGGACAGAAAGAGTGACCCAACACATTGGACTTAATTTTAGACCTAGAGTTCATGGGACTCGACGAGTGCTAGAACAGACTCGGCAAGTCCAAGGCAATCTCCTTATGTTTGAAGATGAACTCGACGATTTGTTCATACAACTCGGCGAGTCAAGGTCAGGACTTGTTCATCAGTTGAAGGTGAACTCGGCGAGTGTTCATCCGACTCGGCGAGTCGGATGAAGGTTCATTGATGTTTGTAAGGAAGGGGAACTCGTCGAGTCATTGCCAAACTCGACGAGTCGAGTCGTGGATAAGGTCGAGTAAAGGGAAGGGACTCGATGAGTTGACGGCCCAACTCGGCGAGTCGGGTCAACTGGAAGTTGACTTTGACTTGGACTTGG